AAACCTTTAAGATATGTTATTTCCCTGCTTTAATGAGTTCCAATTCCGTTTTTTTTAAAGATTTTATTTATTTATTTGACAGACAGAGATCACATGTAGGCAGAGAGGCAGGCAGAGAGAGAGAGAGAGAGGAGGAAGCAGGCTCTCCACTGAGCAGAGAGCCCGATGCGGGGCTCGATTCCAGGACCCTGAGATCATGACCTGAGCCGAGGGCAGAGGCTTTAACCCAGTGAGCCACCCAGGTGCCCCCCAATATCCATTTTTATGGGTTGGATAGCTTTGTCTCAAAACCCGCTCATTGTGTACATTGCTGGACAAAACTAGTTGTAACATATTTTGTCAAAAACTAATATAAGTTCAATAGCATTTATTGAATACCTACTGTAAAATCTACTTGAGGGAGATACAAAATTATTTCCAAAAGGCAATCACATCAGTCTTTAGAAAGGATAAAGTACTGTCATACAGTTCAAATATTGCTATCTTCAAAAGAAACAAATTCCCCCTTGATTTTCAGTACTGTCCTCAGTGGGGAAATTTAATTCTTTCTTACTTCAAAAATTATTTTTCTACATGGTTAGGAAAAAAAGTATAAAAGGTAACAGTAAAGAATATCCCTTCTATACCAACCTGCATCCTCCCAGTTCTCAAACTTCCTGTAGACAACTACAGTTTTCTTTTGTGTCCTTCCAAGGATTTAAGGCCTAAACAGATGTTCATTTAATTTTCCCATCCCCAGTTTTCCACTAGTGGTAACACACTATGAGATCTGTTCTACATCTTGAGGTTTTAAAAAATAATATAGCTTAGAAATATTTTCACATCAGTAGGTAAACACCTTTATTCTTTTTTTTTTTTAATAGCTTGTAGTAGTATTCCATTATGGTACCACAATTTAACCAATTCCATATTACAGACATTTGATTCCAATCTCTTATTATTAAACATACTGTGACAACAAGTAAAATTTATAGATATGTTACTGCACTTAAGTACAAGTAGTTCTTAAGATAAATTCCTGGAACTGGAACTGCTGGGTCAATGGGTACATGCATTTGTAATCTTAACAGATACTGATTACCTTCCATACCAATTTATACCCTAACCAAAATATATGAAAATGGCCCATTTATCATCTGGATGTTATGCTATTAAGTCATTTAGGGCCCTTCCTGTGAATCAAGTATATTAGGGTTAGGTTTCCTTGCGGTCGGAGTGGGATGGGGTGTTAGAGATTATAAGGAAGGGTCAAAGAGGGGTGCTGGTTACATTGCCAACTTACTGTCTCAGTTATAAACCTTCTTTGCCCAACTTTGTGATGTTGTACTGGATCCTGTAAACATATTCCCTTTGGAACATTAGGCTTTTTCAACAGAAGGCACAGGAGTGACACCATAAGGCTATTGTGTCAGGAAGACACCTTCCTTCCATTTCAGCCTTCTTGATAACATTTTAAGCACTGAAACTCAGCAGCCTAGACACATCTCAGGTTGCATCCTCAGGCCTCTCGTCCCACCAGCTCAGCTCGAGCCTGCCCTCTGGCAAATCTACCAGCCCTTGACACAACTGCTGTGATAGCTGCACCCTTTTCAAAAGTGTCTGAATCTCAGCCTTTTAGGGAGACCTACCTCTAAGTCCTAGGTCCCTTAATGTCTACCCTCCTTCAGCCAAGTAGTGTAACTGTTTTTTTGCTCCTGCTTTTCTTTAAAGTCTTTTATCATTTACTTTCTACCAGCTAAGAATTTCTTGTATCTTCCTTGTCCAAATAGCTGATTTGTATCTCCTGAATGGACACTGATAGGACATGTGATCATTTTACCAAAATTCATTGACTTATACTTAAAAATTATGTACTTTTGTATGTCTATTTTTGGTGTCAATTATCTGAATTAATACACTGATAAATGTGAATTATTAAAAGATCATAAACAGTCCTTTAGTTCCTGTTACAGTTTCTTGCCAATTTTAAACTAGAGTCCATATTTAAGCAGGGCACATATTCTAAGGGTTCAAAGTATTCCAGAGTTTACAGTGTACTTTTATAAGAATAAATATTTCAAAGCAGGCTTATTCCTCATTTTACCCAGGACTTGGCAGTGTCTGGCTCATACAGGTGCTCAACAAACACCTGGTGAAGTAAGTACATATTGCTGACATATAGTAACCTAGGCAGGTGATTATGTAAATCTGCAAATGTTGACCAGGATGATAGCCTCACCTCTGTTTTATGTCCAAAGCTTCTACAGCCATTCAGCTGCAAACCCTCTCTTCCCTTTGCTCAGAATCTTTGTTCCAGGAAGGCAGTTAAATAGGACATTTTGTCACTCTACCATTTCTCATGGGTGTATGGGGTGGCTGGTAGCAACGAAGAGGCAACCTTGAGATCCCAGGGGACCAGGGGAAGGCTACGGGAAAACAAATGTCTACTTAAATTGGTACAGATTTAGTTTTTCTCTTTATCAAACTGTTGTAGAATGTTTCCTCACTTAATTCTCATAATAACCAGGGAGATAGTTTTATAATCTTCATTTTACTGATGAGGAAACTAAGGGTCTGAGAAAGTAACTTGTCCTACAAATAAGTATCAGAATATGCATCCAGGACTGACTCTATGTCACTTCTCCTCTGCTAGTCTCTCTGATGGGGGTAATGAAATAAACTAGAAAAAATACAATCCCCAGGGATGGAAGGGTCTTTATGTACTCATAAATGATGTACTCATTCTAGAGGATTCTAATCTTCAGAACTTAAAAATTAGTATCTCAGAGGAAGCAACTTTTTTTTTTCCCTTAAATGTGTTCCTAACCTACTTGAATATATTTCAAGATACCCTGTAGCATGAGACCACCCACAGATCTTGTGTGTGGTTATCTAGTCATAGTCCAAGTGGCTGATGGGGTATACATTTTAAAAATCAGAATGCATTGGAATTTAGGCCAGCCTGCCTGTATTATTAAGATAATTTCTCTTTAGTTTTTTTTTTTAAATTTCAGATACATCTAGGATCCCAATAACTAGGATTTAAAAAAACGAACAAATTATGTTTTGGGAGTTGTTCAACAGACAAAGTACACCTAGAGAACATAAAAATTCTTTATTTAACCTAATCCAGCCAGTACTGAGATAGTCTATGTTAAAAAACAAGACGTTTAAAAAAATTACAGCACAGTTAGCAAGGCAGTGACTAATTAAGTCACTAAGTTTAATTTTATATTCTTCACAGTCATTTGATAATCATGTAATGATGAACAATATTTTCAGCCACTTTGGAGATAAGTTAAACTTCTGCAACGGAGAGAATTTTACTAGTTGTCACTGAATTTTATAAAAGAGGTTTAAAACATTAAAGTTTATAGAAATAACACAATAAAGCAATGTGAAAATAAACTGGAAAACACAGAATATACCCAACCCATCCCAAAACTCTACACCATCCCTTTAATCTGTCCCCTAACACCATTCTCTTACCTCTTCATTCCCTTTTCCTAGAGCACAGACTATTTAACAATTAAGAAACAGCTACTGCTCTGTAAGGGCTGTCTCGAGCCTAAAGTGCCTTTGTTCCTTTAATTTCTCAGTTAATCCTAGAAATGGTCTTCTGAGATAGAAGTATTACTTGCATTTCAGAGATGACAAACACTGTAGCTGAGAGAAAACCACTCAGGTCATACATCTGGTTATTAAAAGCAGAATTAGGATTGGAACCCAGGTCCATCAACTTTGGTCAGCCCATGCTCTTTTGTTGTTCATGGTGGTACAGGCCACCATTCTGAAGACTGGTACATGGTACTTTCCGAGCTAAGGTTTTTTAGACTTAAAGTGTTCAGTTCTAGGGCTAGAGGACAATCTCGTTTCCAGGCACTTGCAATTCCCTCCCCACATCCCTAAAAAACTCCTCACTGCTGCCCCCAAAGGATTAGAGTTGTTTCCCTGGCTTCATGAGCCCTGATACCAACAGACGCAGGCAGCTACTCACTCCCCCCATCTTGGGCATCAAAGTAGTAACTGGGGAACAGTGTGCTTGTATAATTTTATTAAAGGTTGCCTAAAAGCTGTTCCATATAACAAAATTATGCAGAAATATCTACTACTCCTTTTATATTGAAAATTAAAGAAAAGCCAATATATTTTATAATTACAGCTATATAATGTTATTTTTATATATAATCATAGATTTAATATTTCCCCTTCAGAACTGTAGCAGTGTTCTTAATAAGGCTCACTGTCAGTCAAATATTCCCTTCCTCCCAAAATAATTACAACTCCGAATGTTCAACAGCCATTCACATTAAACTTTATAACAGAATTAAGACATTCATACTATAGAAAGGTACCAGTCTTAAATTACTAAAGTTAACATACATTATTGCAATCTAACATAGCTCAATCTATATTTGCTACATTCCTAAAGAGAAGTGGCCACTTATCAGTAAGGGAAATATTTATTGTTGTCATGCATTAGATACTGTGAACAAGAAAATAAATAGGGTTTTTGGAACTATCTTTTAAAAATTTAATTTTAATTAATGAAAATAACTGTGAGACCATTCAGACTGCCAAACAACATTAAAAGGGCCACTATTAAAAATGGCCTAAAATAAATAATTGCTTTTTAAAAATGAACATAAAACTAGTTATACAGTGATTAAGGTGCTAGCCTCGATATGACAAGCAATTAAAATCTAAAAACATTAGTACTGGTTTTAATAATAGCTTGACTTAAGCCAAAAACCTCAATATTTACTCAAGACTTATTTTCATAATTATCTCCTCACTGGTATAAAAACAAAGAGCTCAAGGCCTCACCTTGGTTTACTCACTGCTGGTTTTCTATCTGTTGAAACTAGACAGTAAACTGCATAAAAGCAGGAACCAAGTCTGTCGTGTTCACCACTGTGTCCCCCACAGCACTTTGTATAATGCCTGGGCAAATAGGTGGTGATCAACAAACACCTGAATAACTGAATCAATGAAAGAGAAGAGTAAAATAACTTTATTGATTTTTTTTTTTTTTTTTGCAAGTCGTTCTGTGCTCAAACTACTAGAAACTGGCAGCTCTAATTTCTAGAAATACGGATTTAAAAACCTTACTCCAGTGATTGAAGGTCCTTATGACTCTCTCCCTCTCTTACACACACACACACACACCACACACACACACACACACACACAGTAATTAGGACTGCATGAGTCAAAATTACATTATGAACTATGAGATGTCAACATTATATAAATAAAATTTAATAGTGAAAAAGTGATCTGGAAGCCCTGTGAATTTTTACCCTACACATTTGAGGATGTCACATGGGTTAAGAAAAACACAACAAAATCTCATTTGTTCAGATAATCATTTGAATGTTTACATACATTTTTGGTTTGTTATTTTTTATAACTAATTTACATTTCCTCATATTAACATATACTCCTGTTTAGCTTGTAATCAAATTATGTCAGTGAAAAAAAATCCTCATAGTACCTTCATTGAGTTGCTGATTCTAAGAAAACACTGAACATGAACATGTACAAAAGAGGCATTTGAATTAAACAGCATGTGCATTTTTAAATATTTGCACAGTTTGATCTTTACATTTCTATTTGGAGAAAATATGAACAAAATCCAGGTTTACCATGCTAAGATAATGGTTCAGATGACTGCCATAAAAGAAGTACATACAAAACAATGAAAACAAATCACAACTTCAGGTTCCGTGATTACTGAGAGGATTTCCCCTGCCCTAAGTGCTTTATTATATCTCTTAAAAATATGAGCAGCAGCTTATCATAAGTCTCCACTACTGTGCATTAATGATGGAATCAGAACAACACAACAGACTCATAAGGATGAGAGGACTGCAGAACAACTAGAAGTCACAGTTTTATGCTTCTTCTTGCTCTGGATAATTTAGAATTTTGCGGTGTGCCTGACGTAAATATTGCTGTTGTTTGAAGTAAACCTTGAATGCTCCTTTTATGGCAACAAAAGCAATTCCACCCTAAAATAAAAAGGAAAATTAGCTTTTTAACATACAGATTTAGAGAAACATAATAATAAAAATAATTTTACTTAGATCACAAAAGACAGCCACTGCTGCTAATTCAGATGAATGCAAAGAAACTGTTCTTTTTTCTAGGGGGTAAGACAGGCGGAGACACTAAATCTAACAGAGACACCTTCCGTGTTCTCCTATTGGGTAATCTCTCCACTTGGCTTTACATCCATTCTGATATAACAGGGAAAAGGCCTGGGCACATGTGCAGGTGATAGGTGGAGAATAATGACATCAACACAAGGGTTGACTATGTGCTAGTACTTCAAATGAATTACCTCATTTAATCCTCCCAGTAATCCTGATATACCTATGAATTTGATCTGTATTTATAGGCACAGAGAAGTCAAGAAATTTGATTTAGGTTTTTCAGCAAAGCCATATCTGTGACAGGATATAAATCAGGCAGTCTGACCCTAGAGCAGAAGCTCTTCACCATAATCTTTGTTGTCAAGAGGGATGGGCGTGATAATTCATGCCTATTCTAGGAGAGAAATCACCCACAGCGCTGTTCTGGAAGGCTAGACGTAATGGATCCTCCCCCTTCTTGCTATTGGACAACAAGTGGGGATCAAACAGAACCTTAAAGCATAGGAGCCACAAAAGGACTATTTATATGGTCCCACTGGGGTTTTTTTAAACAAATACACAGTTCATTCTTTTTTGTATAGTCACTTGAAAAAAAAACCCATCTTACCAAGATTGTCCTTTGTAAATTAGAGTTAACACTACTGAACATCAGTTTACCAACTATTGTTGCAATAGTAGGAAAGACAAGGGCTCCACACAAAATTCGGGTGGCAGAGACGTGATCTGCTAAAGGATTAGCCTCAGCTGGAATTCGAGGAACAGGACAACCAATGCCTAGAGAAAAAGAAAATGCAGGATATTAGTGCTAATGAATCAGAATAATTAAAGTATCTATGCATACTAAGATTCTTTCACAAACATTAATTTGGTGTGCTCATTATAGCCACAATTCAGGGCCTTACCTGGAAATATACTGTTCAAAATTTGTAGTTTATTTGAGTATTTGCGCCATAGTCTAAGCACGTAGTCTTCCCAGCGTATCATCTTGCCTAATATCAGCATGACAGGAATAGTAGGAAGTCCAATTAAAAGGAACAAAGGATCAGCTCTCTCCATAACATCCAGACCTTCTTTATGGCCTACAACCTGTGAAACAGACAGCATTTGCTAGAATCATTTCCTTATCTAATCAAGGGTTATATGCTTGAATTCATTTTAGAGGAAATGCTAAATTTCAAAAGAATACAGAAAAGGGGTGCCTGGGTGGCTCAGTCGTTAAGCGTCTGCCTTCGGCTCAGGTCATGATCCCAGGGTCCTGGGATGGAGCCCCACATCAGGCTCCCTGCTCTGCCGGAAGTCTGCTTTTCCCTCTCCCACTCCCTGTGCTTGTGTTCCCTCTCTGGCAGTTTCTCTCTCTGCCAAATAAAGAAAATCTTTTAAAAATTTTCAGAAAAAAATTAAAAAAAAAAAAAAAAAAAAGCTGGAAAGCTACCAGTCCTGATTTATTTATACATGTCTCTCATTCAAGGGAAGAAAAGCTCCTAAGCCATTTCCTATTATATTGGAATAAAAGCTTTTAAAAATGGTTGCCCCACAGTGATTACAATTCAGTAGAGGGGAGCAGACTTCTGGTTTTTTAATTCCTCTTCCCTGATTTGATTAGATTGGGCTACAATTTTAAGTCCTATTTGTCCTCCAGCAGAGCATCTCTTTTCCTGCTCTTCCTACTAGGTAAGCACAGCCAGCCAAGGGGCAGGACCAGCCTTCAAGAAGATGGCCTGAAAGCTCACTTCTCTTTGGTTCTTTCTCCATACTCAGTGGTGTCTGGGATAGAGTGATTTTTCCGGCTGGCCAAATGCTTGTTCTACAGACCTAACTCGGCTAAAAGGCAATTCCAAGGTCTACTGAAGTAGCTTTTGCTACAAGTTCCAGTCCTTTTTCTAGTCCAGGAACCCTAGGGTGTCCTATCTATGGGGTAATGAAGCTAAAACAATCCTTCCTTTCTTATCTGGGTCTTGGGGCTATTTCTCAATTGGATTAGATTCCAGAGGGCAAAAAGGACATGAATAATTCTTATTTGTGAATCTCCATACTTCCCCTGCAGGAAAATCCTTATTACTGGATCAATCTTGCCCTTATACTTCTCTCAACATCTCCATTTTACTGATGAGCTTCTTACCTTTTTTTTTTTTTTAAAGTCTTAATTTTTGAGAGAGAGACAAAGAGTACATGAACACAAGCAGGGGGAGGGGTAAAGGGAGAAGCAGGCTCGAGATGTGAGACTTGATCCTAGGACCCCGGGATCATCTGAGCCAAACACAGACGCTTAACCGACTGAGCCACCCAGGCATCCCACTTGGTATTTTTAACTGGAGATTTTCCCTGAAAATTCTCTTTCAAAGGTCTCAAGTGATCTTCCCTGTAGCCAGAGTCTCAACTGCTTCCAAATTAAACCTATTTCTCTGAGTGATTATTTCTGGCAGTTATGACAGGTGAAGGAGACTATTTCTGAATCTTGGGCTTATACCCACCAAGGTATCACACAGTGAGGACAGCTAGCTGGGAGGATACTACTAGAAAGACTCCATATAGTTTTTCTGATCACACTTGAGGTATAAACCAGGAAGAAAGGATTGGGAAGAATCTCGTCTCTATCTTTGATAGGGAGGAGGTGACAGGAAGGAAGGGCAGGCATGGAGGAAAGGGAAGAAATAAGGTAGGGAAAACTAAAAGCTGCCAGAGACACTGAGGAAAACAAGCTCATGAAAAAGTATATGGGGTTTTTGAAAGAAAAAAAAAAAAGAGAGAGAGAGAGAGAGATGCTCTTTATGTAAACTATCATAGCAGATCTTTTTTTTAGGTGGACTACTCTAAGTGAAATAAGGTAAAGCTGAGAATGGTCAAAGCAAACCGAAATCCTAAACAACACACTCAATCCAGGTAAAAATATTTTGTAAGTATGTGGGAAGAAGCAAAATGGATGCCTTTAAAATCTGACTAGGGATATAGTCCAGGCTTGTACTTCAGTAATTTACCTAAATACAATATAATATTCAAGGGCAGGAGGCTAACCCCTTCTAAGTGATCAAAAACTACGGTATAGATACCTAATATTCTTGTGTTTCCACAGAGAAACCTAATGCCTTGTATGTGAAGGATAATAGTTCTGAGTTGGCATAAAGTGAAATAGTCTGGTTCACGAACAGTTGACCTTTGAACAGCATGGGTTTGAACTGTATTGGTCCTTATATATGTACTGATAGATACTGTACAGTACTGTTATTTTCTCTTCTTTATGATCTCCTTAATAACATTTGCTTTTCTCTAGCTTGCTTTACTGTAACATAGCATATAGTACATTTACAAAAATGTGTGTTAGTTCATTTTATGTTACCAGTAAGGCTTCTGGTCACAGCAGGCTATCAGTAGTAAAGCTTTTGGGGAATCAGAACTTATCCATGGATTCTCCACTGCATGAAGGGGGTTATCAATGTAAAATGAAAGCTGAATTAAGCAATGGGGGTGATTTAACTAATCCCCATGTTGTTCAAGGGTCCACTGTATTTCATAAACCCTAATCCCATACTAGTAGCAAAAGTGGACTGGCCCAGAGATTGTGTCTCCACCTATGCCTTTTCAGGACATTCTGTTTTTTTTTGTTTTGTTTTTAAGATTTTATTTATTTATTTGACAGACAGAGATCACAAGTAGGCAGAGAAGCAGGCAGAGAGAGAGGAGGAAGCAGGCTCCCTGCTGAGCAGACAGCCCGATGCGGGGGCTCGATCCCAGGACCCTGAGATCATGACCTGAGCTGAAGGCAGAGCAGAGGCTTTAACCCACTAAGCCACCCAGGCACCCCATGGACATTCTGTTTTTTTAATATCATTTTATTATTTTCAATCTAATGATCACTTATAAAGTTACAACTAAATGCGATTTAAATATTCTCAAAGTATTAGCAAATAAATTCAGAAATTTCAAAAATTCCTGTTGGTTTACATTATTCTTTTTAGAATTTGGGGTTTAGAAATATAAAGCAGAGTGAATATTCAGGTACAAACTATAGTAAGAGAAAGTTTATTCCTCATGGGTAGCAGTAAAAACCTTACAAGCTGGTGTCTAAGAATAAGGAAACAAAAAAGGAAATAAATAGGACACAGTAGCAAGAGACCCACTGTCCGACTTACTATATCTGAAGTGGAGAGAGATGTGCTGGGCTCACTACGCATGCATTCAACTGAATACTGATTATGTGCCAGACACAAGCCTAGGTGTTGCGGATAAAACAGTAAGCTAAATAGATGTCTTTTGGAGGTGAGAGAAAATCAAATCAAACCAAACAAGCATGCAAGTATAAATGCTGCAAAGGAAACAGAATAGTACAACTATAGTTTACCACCTGCTACTATAGTCAGACTCAAGGGCAGAAAATGAAAGCTGAATTAGGCAATGGGGGTGATTTAGCTTTGGTCAATACAAATCCAGCAAATTGTGCGTGATCATGTACACTCTGGTTTTATGCCCCAAGATTTAAAACGATTATTTTTAAGACTTCAATTTCGGGGTGAGATTCAGGAACCAGAGAACATCTTCTCTAAGAATTTGTTATCTGTGTATAAAATAAAGGCTTAGGAATTGTGGGTTTAGATAAAGGTTTGTTTTTCTGCTTAAGAGCTGAAAGCTGGATCTTCATATCCAAGAGTTCACCCACACTAAATGGCTAAGAGTTTTAACTAAGGCCTGATCTTACAAAGCACTTCCTTTTAAAAGCCTGCTTTTAAGTGGGAGACTCAAACAGTGGTGAACTAATAGGTTTTCTTAGTCAATATTAAGGATAATTTATGGTAGTATAAGTTAAGAAAGGGCAATGCTTATGGGGGTTATCTTTACACTGAGACAAAAGTAGAACTAGACTGGACATTAATGTCTTATTGTTCCAGGGTAAAACGATCCCACTGCCTTTGAAACCAGGTTTCACCTAAGGAGCCCCAGGTTAGGGAGAGGGATGGGGGTCCTAATGCTTCTTTCTTGCTGTGTGGTAGTGACATGTAAACTCGCCAAATCTGTAAACTAGGAATAATTGATAGTATCCAGATCACAAGACTGTTACAAGGATTAAATATACCAATGTTAGAAAGGTGTTTAGCCCAGTGCTGGGAAAAAAGTTACCTATTGTCTTCTCAATAAAAATGTAGGCAGAAGGTCTCATTCAAATTCTTCACAACTAACAGGGATTGAACCTAAAACTGGTTCCTGGAGAAGTGGGAAAAGAATAGTGGTCTAGGGGCATCTGGGCGGTTCAATGGATTGACCATCTGACTCTTGATTTTGGTTTAGGTCATGATCTCAGGGTCAAGGAGTGAGTCCCAAGTTTGGCTCTGTGCTCAATGGGAGAGTCTGCTTGAGATTTCCTCTCTCCCTCTAAAATAAATAAATAAAATCTTAAGAAGAAGAATAGTGGTCTGATTCCTTAATCTGATTTACTTGTACTTCAGAGTAGTCAGAGAACAAAAGGAAAAAGAACACTCAAGGGTTAAGAAAGAAACCCCTAAATACTGCTGATGGTATAGTGGGGCACATTTTCTATTACATATATTCAGATAAGTAAAAGTCTTCCCAATACTCTTAAATCCTACAATACCTGCCTACTGTCACAGGTAATCTCTTTCATTCTAGGCTTAAAAAATCTTTTCAAGTGAGATAGTACATGCGAAGATCATTTCTAAATGGTAATTATTTCTAAATGGCAATATATATGTATCATCATAATTTTAGGTCTTCTTCTTTACTGTCACCATTAACCAACATGTTCATTTTTGTCTCCTTGCTTGTATCATTTCTTCCCCTCTACAATTCCAAATTACTGCCTTCAAAGGTCAGCTCAAGACTTTTTTTGTAATTTCAAATGATCTTCCATTTTATTGAATTAAAATATTGTTTGTGTAGTCTTCTGTCTGTACTCTTCATATTTGTTTATATAATGTTGTAACTGTTCTCCAATTCACTTATGAACAGCTTGTCTTAGACTGTATTTCTTGGGGCTGGGGATTAGGGCTTTCAATTTGTCTTGTGTTTTACATAGACCTCAGCTTGGTGTTAACTTTTTGAATGAATCATACCAATATGGATTCAAAGTGCCAAAATCCAGCTTGAAGCCCTTTTTAGAGGATACAAACTATATTCCTTAATTGGCTCTTATCAGTGTGTCCCATTAATTATCAAATTTCTTTTAAGATTGAGCAAGCCTAAAATCTTTCCTCAAAAAGAGCCACCCTACTTCTTATGGTCAATTAGGTATTAAGGGAAATCACACAATCTCAGAGGGCCTTCGTTTCTTCATCTGCAAAATATATATGTCTGTATAATGTGTTTGTGCATTAAATAATGTATATATCTACTCTAAGTTTTTGTGTCTTTGTCAGTCCTAGTGAACCATTCTAAACCTCCCTGAACTAATGATCTACTCATTACTGTAATTTTAATAAATTATTGCAGGGAAAATAGTCAAACCTGCTACTACCTGATTGAATGAGTCATATTAAAAAAAAAACAACAACAACCCAGTATTTTATATAAGCCTTTAAATGTTATTCTCTGTGTATATGCTATATTAGGAATATGAGTATAAGACAGTCTACTTTCAAGGAAACTACCTTCTCATAGGAAAAGCAAGGCCTGAATACAGGAAAAGTTAAATAACAGGTAGCCTAAGAAATATCACTTGGTCAGCACAAGATTAGCTGCCATATGAGGACTGAAAATGTTATGAATGTAGAGGAAAAAGAAATGACAGTGGTCAGGAGATGTCTGGTAGGTTTGATGGGGGGAAAGCATCTGAACTAAGCCTGGAAAGAAGCGATTAGATTTGGATAAGTAGACAGAGGAATGGAAGGGAAAGTATGAAGCAGGAAGGGTGACAAAATGCAAAAAAAAAAAAAAAAAAAAAAAAAAACAACACCAAAACAGCAAAAGGTTGGGTTGGAGGTCCACAGGCCTCAAAGGAGAATGAAGTGAGACTGTGAAGCACCCTGTGTAACAAATCAGGTTAAGGAAATGGAATCTTTTTTAAGTCAGTGGTTCTTAATCTTTCCTATTACATTATGACAAATGATACAATTCATTTTGCAACTCATTCTACTGACTATATCCAGATTTTGGGGGTGTCATCAGCACTTCATGAAGAAGCCTTGCAGTATCTGTCCCACAATGAATATTAATGAAGCAACTAGAAATGCCATTCACTAGGGACCCAGCATAGACAGATTATGTGCAATTTCTAGAATATTATATAGTGTGTTAACTATTACTGAGTTATTTATGAAACACTTACCCAATCTTAGTGCCGCACTGATAAAGCATTACTTAAGGCAGAGGAGATGGTGAGGTTGGAGTAGATGTTGGAGGTATTATTTTAGGAAGACTGATTTAGAAGGATGGACTGATTGAAGAGAATGAAATTAAGAGAAACCAATCAAGAGGCTCCTTTAGCCCACAGGTATGATGGGAGAGTGACAAGAAGTCAGGTGGTTAAGACTGTGGAAAAGAAGCTACAGATATATAAACAATATAAAAATGAAAATTGCTTGGACTTGGGTCAGTGGCATGACAAAGGTCTATGTAGTAGAAAGAGCTAAAGGTAATCCTAAGAATGTAGGATACAGACTGATTAGATGGGAAAGAATAGTAGCTATCAAAGGTATAGAAAGATTATGATGGGGAATAAATTGATGTTTCAAGTTGAGGAAAAAACTAATCTGATTTCAATAATATTGAGTGTGAAATCATAAGAGGTCATATAAGGAGAGGGGTCAAACTGTGACTGTAGGACTGGATTTGAGGAGAGATTAGGGCCAAGACATAGATAAGCACAAAAAGCACAGAGATGATAGCTGGAAATCTTTAGAGAAGAAATATAAAGAGAGGAGTCAAGAGTCTGGGACTAAATCTTGAAATTTAAGTCTAATAATCTTCACCAACAGTTACTGATTGTAGCAAAAAACAGGAAGCAACTAATCGCCTAATCAACAACAGACTGGTTAGTTAATTGTTCTAATTCCACACATAGAATGCTATGAAGACTTCTGTATACTTATATGAAAAGATATCCAAAGTTCACTGTGGAAAAAAAAGAGAGGTACAGTTCTAATTTGCTTCCTTTAAGGGGAAAAAGGTATGTGTGTGGGAGAACAAATTTATTTTTTCTTGCACATGCACAAAGAAATCTAGAAGAATATTATATACTAATAATAGTGGCTACCTGGAGAAGTGAGGAGGAATCTGGGCAAACAGGCAGGTGTAAGATGACTTTTCACTGGATAAGTTTCTTATTTTTAAGCCATGGGAAGGTTATTACTTGTTCAAAATAATAGTAATAATTTTTAAAACTCTAATAAAAATCTATTTAATAGATCTTCACATAAAAAATATTATCACTGGGACGCCTGGGTGGCTCAGTTGGTTAAGCAGCTGCCTTCGGCTCAGGTCATGATCCCAGCGTCCTGGGATCGAGTCCCACATCGGGCTCCTTGCTTGGCAGGGAGCCTGCTTCTCCCTCTGCCTCTGCCTGCCATTCTGTCTGCCTGTGCTCGCTCTCTCTCCCTCTCTCTCTGACAAATAAATAAAATCTTAAAAAAAAAAAAAATATTATCACTGAACACAGTAAAATAGTGAACCTGCATCACTGTCACTGCTCCGTAAGTCACAGCTGTCCAATAGATAGAGCCAACCATTATTCCTGCTGCAGCAAATGGACAAGCTTTTGAGATCAGTCTATCCGCAAGATCCAAGACGTAAACCACTGGACCTATAATAAAAAAAGAAAGTAATGTTTCAACACAAGACAGATTTTTAGAAAATGACTTACTCAATATTTTCCATTGATCTAAATATTTTTATGAAGTTGGATGTTCTGATGCTTTAGAGGTAACTATAATAGATGGGATGGGAACCTATATTTGACTAAATTTAGAATTTCTCAGTTGTCTGCAAAAATAGCCAAGTTTTACTTCCTAAATTCTTGGAAACAGCTTCAAATTTTTTTATCTTTATCAGCACACCTAAGATTAAAGGCTCGAACACAGCTCCTTTTTAGGAAGAAAACAGATTCTCACTTCTATTCACACTGGCTACTGAAGAATGAAATGGCCATTTCACCTTGCTCTTCCCAAACAGTTCTTGCCCATGGTTAGATTCTCTAGTACTTAGGAAAAATATCACTTCTTGACTTCACTCATTACTTTCTTGGTGCAGTATGTCAAGGTAACCAAGGCTATTTTCTTGTAGTTATACAAAGTCAATTTATCTTACTTTGATTTTCAATATGGAATAGTTGAGTATTATTTTCTAACATCTTTTTTCCCCCCACATTTGTATGTAAATTAGTTAGCTAACATATAGCATACTATTAGTTTTAGGAGTTGAATTTAGTGGTTCATCACTTACATAAAATACCCATCTAACAAACTTCTTTTAATGATCACAATGCCGGTTTTTATGGCATTCCAACAGCTGTGTGTGCCAATTATATTTCCATTATTATATGCTTACTGTTAAATCTGGCTACTACTTTTCTTCAGAGGGTATTTAGAATAGCTATATTTGGAGGTTTTCTAACTGCTAAAGTCCAATATAATTTAGCTCCAGAATTTTTCAGAATAGTGGAATGGTCTCAGGTCTGAATTAGAGCAAGTTCTAAAGAACTGAGTACCTAAGTTTAGTCACAGAAATATGAAACACTGATTTACTAATCACCACATTTGTTGAATACCCTCTACATACTTGAAACTACTACTTGAGACATTTTCTTGGAAATGTGTAAAAATTATTACCTACCTTCTGGAGGATTACAATCTATAGCAGGATGCTTTATACAAAAACTATTTTTACTGTACAAAGAAATTAATATAGCATGATAAAATAATTAAGATGCATAAGAACAAGCATCCATCTATGGAGCCCTGATCACTGGGGCCAGTAATATCACTAGTCACTGTATAAAGAAAGACGACACTGTGAAGTAGAAAGAACATCAGGAGGGACGTCAAAGGATCTATGATTTCAATTTAGCATATTTACTATGTCCTCTAATAATAGTTAGCACTTCTTGAGTGTCTACAGGATACCAGCTGCTGTGCCACAAGAATTACATGCATCATTATTCAATCCCATGACGTAGGGTTTAATCCTTAAAATATACATATTTGCTAGGTTAAGTTTAAAACTCCCTCAGAGGGTACAATAAAAGTCATTTTAATGAGTCACCAAAGATCTCTCAAATGCTGGTACTGAAAGTCATAAACCATAGGTATATATAAAACCTCAGTACTTCAACTTTCATATTCTCTACTGATAATTCTTTAATCAGAAAATTGAAGCTACAAGACAAATCCAGACTCTCCATGGCACACATACCCACCTACCAACATCACACTTACCTGAAGTTAATCCCTCTACTGACACACCAGACCCCATTCCCTTGCCAACTCAAAGCTCCAGCTCCAGCAACTGTCTCCCACATCATTTCCTCTCTACTTTTTACTGGATTATTTCCATCAGACAGGTCATTATTTCTTCTATCTTAAAAAAACCCAAATTCTGGGGCACCTAGGTGGCTCAGTGTGTTAAAGCCTCTGCCTTCGGCTCGGGTCATGATCCCAGGGTCCTGGGATCTCTGCTTGGCAGGGAATCTGCTTCCTCCTCTCTCTCTTTGCCTGCCTCTCTGCCTACCTGTGATCTCTGTCTGTCAAATAAATAAATAAAATTTTAAAAACAACCACCACCAAATTCTTCTCTTGGTCCTTCTTCCCTCACTGCTCCATCTCTGCTTCATTTACAACAAAATTCCTCAAAAGACTTACCTGTTTTCACTCTCTCCTTCAATTCTCTCCATGAAAACTACTCAGACTGGTCACTAATAACCCAAGATTCGTTAAATTCAATGGTGTAATCTCAGCCTTCCTATCTGGCCTAGCAGCAACATCTCACACAGATGTTCCTTTCTTCTTCCCAATATATGGCTCTTCATTATATTTCTAGGACATCACCATTTATTTTTTTTTTTCCATCACCAATCATTAACTTTTCAGTCTTTCTTGGTTCCTCCTCCTCTTGAGCTCAGTGAGACTCACCCTGCCAACACCTGCCTCATGATACTCCCTATTTAAATTATTCTGCACTATTTTTCATTTTCCCAAAGTACTTATCACCTAACATATTCTAATTTACTCATTCTGTTTCTATCTACAAGAATATGGGTTAGTAAACTATGGGCCATTGACCCTATCCAGCTGGCTGCTTGCTTTTGTAAATAAAGTTTTATATGGAACATGGCCACACGTAAAACCTAAAATACTTACTTTCTGGTTTTTAACAAAAAAGTCTGCTGACTTTTGAACTAGAACACAAGCTTCAACGGGAAAAATAACGGTTTTGTTTTGTTTATTGATGAATCCCAAGTTCCTGTGACTCTCAATAATTTGCTGAATTCTCTACTGAGGTACTAATTTAAAACTATGATTTGAAAATCTATAGGTGTTTCTTTTTCACTATTCTATACCAAGCCCAAGTTAACTACAAGACTATTTCCTAACCCATTCAGAATAAAAACTGGGAAGGAAAGAACATATTTTACATGCTTCCAATGTACCTTCTTCCCTCTCTCCTTTCAACAGGGTACTTGGAACTATCTACTGATGGAGTGAAGCAATACAATTCCTAAAAAAACCATCACTACCACTTTTATATATCATGAACATGGGCTATCTAGAGACGTCTGAATTGTTTTTACTTTAAACATCTCAGATGGTTCTAATATACTGAGCTCAATTTTCAGTTTCCTTCCTGAATCAGTGGGTGTGAATTATTTTTGTGCATGCAAAAAAACAAAAAATCTGTACACTTTTGGAAATTTTCTACTTATTCCTTGAATCATATACAAAAGATGCACTAGATTAAATGAAGACACTGGCTGTATTTTACAGTTCCTATTTCCAGTTATTTTGAAATAATTTTGTCTATACTTCTGTCTTTATTTTGCCTAAACCTCTCCAGGCTCTTTCAGATAGTCTAGTCCAAGAATAGTTTAATATTTAAAAGAAAAGATAAATGTTTAGTAGTAAGCATACCATGAGAATAAACTGTCACCCAGGGGAGGTATTTCTTAGAGCTAAAGATTACCTAGGCAAGCTATGTAGTGAGTTAAAACAATCACTGGATTTCTCTGGATGGCAATCCCTAAATCATACTCTTCGTATTAGGAAGCTTACCATGTACTACTAACCTGTGACTTGGGGTCAAAAGAAAAATAGCAAGTTACTAGATTCTTCTTACAGCACAAAGAGTTATGGAAAATGAGGAAAGACAAGACTAGCCCTATAAAACCCCAATTCTAATGAGGAGGCAGAAATATGAATAAGTGCACATCACACAAGTCAAATACCTAAGGGCATAAAAAGGCTTCAATATTTTAAAAAGGCATTATTGAATTTTTAATGTCTCAGTGGGGTTCACCACTTACGTTTTCAATGTACTGTATTTACACAATGGACAGCAACTGAAGAAGCTCTGTATAAATAGAAGTTTTGAAAACCCAATAATTTAAAGGGCACTAGGGAAGCTTGCAATTAAAAAAAATCTATTGTGAATTCTTTTGTACAATAAAGAACCTTTGTAAAGAAAATACACTCCAATACTCTGGGTAAATTCAAATTTTCACATTTCAGATGTGAATGACATCAAACAGCGAGCTGAGAACTATTGGGGAAACTCCTAAGTCTGTGTCTACTGAAAAAGTAATCAGTTTTATCTGGCATACACTGTGAAAGTAGATTTGTTGCAGCTGTGATTTAAATTCAAATTTATATACGCATGTATTAAAGGCACATCTTGGAAAATAAGAAATTAATGACTTAAGGGCAGGTAATATTTAGGGCTCAACATCTATGTGCACTGCTTACTGTAACAACCAGAATTCTTACGACCTTTCTCTGGGATAGAAAGATACCTTAAAAACAAAAAACAAAACAAAACAAAAAACCTCTCACCAATTCTTGAGAAATAATTTTTGTATGTTGCCAGAGTGCTAACGTTTCTAGCACAGAACACAATTTAATGAGCAAAAAGGTGCTTCACAAGACAACCTTGTGTATGTTCCTGAAACGATAACCGCTCCAGTTAAGTAACCAATGGTTTATTAAGAGTTTTAATAAGCAAAACAGACTGTTTGTAAAAGCTATGCAAGTTTCCAGGTTTTCTTGGTTTGCTTTTTGCTCTGCATTGAACTAGTTTTGATTTAGACCCAACTTTAATGCCAACCTGCTAATAAGCCAAAACATCAACCCCACTTTCAGATTCAGAACCATCCAGAATTACAATTTTGGCCATCATGAAGAGTCCAACAATATAGTTCTAAACTTCTCTCTTTGCTCCAAGTCTTCTTTTCATTGTGTTTTATTTCTGGAATGTCTGGTCCCTACTTGAAGTCTGTATGAAAACCCGATTTCCCAATGAAAACTAATCTAACTTGATAGAGATTGCTCTACCCCACCCTGTTCATGTCCCATGAGGCTTCCTTTAATACTATCCCACAAAATGCACTTACCCCTTTGCTTGTGCATAATGTTAGTACTTTATGTTCTTGTTCAATGTTTGTTCAGTTGTCTCAATATCCTTATGTCTGTCCATGTCAGCATCATCTTAGATTGAAAATTCCCAGGGGGCAGGGGCCAAGTCTGTTTAACTCGTTTTGTACAGTGCCTAGGATAGAACCATGTATAGATAGGTGCTTAAAAAAATGCTTATGATGAT